AGTCGGCGTTTGTACTGGGGTTACTGCAACAGGAGGTGCACAATTATGATCGACCGACCGGATTTCACGAGAGTATTTTGCTGTACATGATGGAACTCATCAATACCCACTACTTGCTCCTGTGTCGCCATCTTTCAGCGTTTGTTGACACAATTATGGGTTGCCTGGAGCCGACAAAACCTGAGCGACGGCGACGGTGTCTACCATTGAGTACTCGCTGTCTTCACACACTAGTACGTCGTTTTCCAATGGTTGATTTTCATCAAGAAACGCAACGCTTGGCCTTAGGTACAATGGAAGCTGTGATCGTTATTTATGACCTTCGCACAGCAACAAAGTGGCGCGTTCTAGACGGCCACGGTTCGGCCGTCTCTGCTGTTCGCTTTCGATTTGACGGACAAGTACTTGTGTCCTACGCAGCTCGTGATGGTAGTGTGCGGTGGTGGAATAGTGGCAACGCTGGACTTTTTGGAGGCATGCTCAAGATGTATCAGTCGTGTCTAAAGGAGCACAAATTATCGACATTGCAAGAAAATTCTACCGGAGGTGCATCATCGTCAACTGGTGGGACGAGCGCCGGTTTAAAGCAGATTATCCAGACGTGTCGCTTTCAATTTCTCACGCGTAAGGATAGTTCGGAAAACAAATGTACTAGCAACTCCGAACGACCCAAACACGTGTTGCGTCTCACCAGAGAAGATGCCAGTCAAGTGCAATTCCTTTTGTAACGCGATAGCGATAGATTTGAATACATCCCACTTAGGCTGTCGGACAAATATGCGAAGGGACAAAACCATCATGATTTTGGAAGAGACTATGTTCAACGCCAAAATTTGACGCCGAATAGATTGAGAGATTAACGATTTCTCTTGGCTAGCGAATGACTTGGACTGTGAATTTTCAAACTCTCATTATTAGATTTTCTGTCTTCAGTCGAAGGCTCTTTCTAGTCTTCGGAGCAACGATCACCAGAGAATCAAATGAAGACGTTTCGTATCATCCTCGCGATGACAACCCTTTCGTTCAGCAACTACGCTTACGCCCAAGGGCCGCTTGGGCCTGTGCGAATGGGCCCGATGGCGCGTAACCGTGAGCAATTTGGCGGCAATGACCTTGGTGGTGGATTTGGTGGAGGCATCAACGGATTCGGAGGTGATGGGGCTGCTGGTTTCGGTCAGTTTGGTGGAAATGGTGGAACCTTTAACCAAATCGGTAATAATGTCGGTGGAGGCTTCGGCGGTAGCAACCAGCTCGGATTCGGAGGGGGAGGCAACGGTTTCGCGATGAGTCGAGGCGCGATATCTAACAGGTTTATGGCTGGTGCAGGCGGTGGTGCTGGAACAGGAGATGTCATGGGACCAGGTGCTGGCAACCGTGGCTCTGACAATGACGGACCTGTTACACCCGCCCCGACCATGCCAAACGGGGAACCAGTATCCAGTAGCATTGGTGTCGGAGCTACTCAAGGCGGAGCTGGCATTAGTAATTCTCCTATTGGCCCTGGCGCTGGTGGCCTCGGTGGAGGATTTGGCGTTGGTGGTCAGCCAGGAGGATTTGGTGGTGGCATGGGCCCATTAAACGGACGCTTTGATGGAAATGGCGGTGCAGGTGGTGTGGGCGGTTTTAACGGCATGACTGGCGGCGCTTTTGGAGCTGGAGGAATGGGAGGAAATGGTGTTTAATTCCTGCCTGTTCAATGGCTGGTCAAGCGATCGTTATGATCAGTAGTGATAACCTGTTTCTTATACAGTTGTGATAATACAAATTATTGTTGTGATAACCGAATTTGGACGTGATGCCCAGACCTGAAATGGCTTCATGTTAGTTTTCAGGGCATAAAACACAAACACCGTACCGAAAGTAAGTAAGACTCGATTCGTAATATATTAACTGCATATGATCAACAAACTATAGCAACAAATGCGAATATAAGTGATGATACGCATTACAAACCAAACTATATAAGTTTCTGACGCTCTGATCTGATACAGAAACGTCAAGTCAGGTTCTTAGACGACAGGATTGGAAGTAGTCGTTTTTTGTATGTTCTGAGAGGCAGTAAGTAATTCATAAACTTCTTGCTCGAGCGATTTGACATAACTTCCATCAGGTAACTTTGCTTCTTGGTTTTTTTGTTTCTGGAGCTGGTAAACTCGGTGCCACTTTTTCGCTGTAATATTTTTCTTCTTTAAGTATGCAGCAATTTTGTTAGCATTCCAGAGAGCTGTTTTCGACATCATCTTGAATTTAAACAAGTAATCGCTCATCAGCTGCCCGATCGGACGGTTTCTCTCTTCATCATCATGAGTTGGGGTCTCAGTGTTAGCTGCCTCGTTGCTCAGCAATTGCCCATTTCCATACGTTGTATCGGATGTGTGTAGAGCTTTATCGTTCTCGTCGGAGGATGCCAAGACATAGGTGACTGAGACGGCAATAGTCAGGAGTAGAAGCAAAACCACACGCATCGCTTCAAGAAATATTGCAAAGTGTGCTCTGTCATCTGCTGCACACTTAAAGCACCACAAAATTTGCGTTCAATGCGGCTCACAGCAACAACATGACCACCCACACACAAGGAGAGCCAGTGAGCGCACGAGGATAACCGAACACGCGCAAAGAAAACACAGAGTAGGGTTTTTGTTACACTAGTGCATACATAGCCTTACTTTGAGGTCTGACTCTCTCCCTGAATAGGAGAGGAGACGGTGTGTAATTAAAATTACCTTTTTAGTCCAAACGGGCATGATGTGCGATATTTATGATCAAGGCGTGCGTACCAGCCCATACGGAAATCAAGAACAAAGTATTCGGAGAAAACAGCTAGCTTCTACAAATTGAATGGCAGATGCTTGTCGTGGCCCCTCCGTGCTCAATTTCGAGTTTTTGCACTCTCGTCAAACCAACCTAGAAGAGAGTCGATAGGACCGGTCTATTCTTTACTAGTTACAAAACGTTTTGTCACGAGCAGTTTGCATTTCTATACTCCGCGTGGTCCGCGTCAATCCATCATTTTTTGAAGATCTACAGAACGCTTTGATGCTTAAATGTATTCTTGGATGTAAACATCCATTGACTGCACGTTTTTTTAGGCTTTACTGACATTGAAAACTCATAAGATCTGATCAGGGGAAGTCTGTAATGCTGAGGGCGAAGCAGTACTCTTTTATTAATATTATCTTTACTGCTTCTTTTTGGCGGAACCTTTAAGCCTCACGACTAATTGTTGTGCTGCATTGTTTGCAAATATGTCAAATTGCCCTTTAGCTGTAGTCGTGCATTTTCGGTAAACACCGTGATCTTGTGTATTGAGGCCTCACGCATTTGGTGCGATCGTATCAAATACAGAATTGTACAATTGCACAGAATTCTGCCCAATACTGCTGACGAGCGATATTGCAGCTATATGTCTATTTACAATCTTTATCGTATCAACGAACTCAAAAGTTTTTACATTTGTTCGTACATTAAACAAACTCAGATTTGCCTAGTGCTCAAGTATGGTGGCTCCACTTTCATGATTGAGATTTCAAATGCCTCAAAGGATAACATATTCACTGTGGGGTGTTTAACCAGTACCTACATTGTAACGGGTTACACATTCCCTGATAACAGGTGTGTGTGTCACACCAGCTGGGTATGGTGTGACAACACTTAAACAGGAATACGGTACGGGGCTAGGTAGCCAGTAGTTATACATGTACCGTAGTTAACAAAAAGAATAATTGAGGCATTTTCAAATAGCGATTGAGTTAACATTAAAAGTGACCAATTCTCTCAAGAAATTGTGATTATTTTGTGAACTTTGGATGCACCATTTTCAAAATTTAAACAAGTGAAAAAAGCTTTATCCCAGGTCCAAAGATCGCTGATTGTCGATGAGTGATTGATATACACCGTTCTCCTCGTG